AAATAACATCCAACAAAGGTTAAATATGTCAATGAGGTACATGTCATTTTCTCGAAAGAGTTTCTACTTGGCAAAGTTAGTGGTGGAACCCGTGTTTATCTTGGATTTGGAAAAGATGGGTATGGAAAAGCAGTAAAACGACTTAATCGAGATAGTTACACAGAGAAAGCTAAGCAAGAAAAACATACTTTGAATGAATTTAATGCAAAGCATTCGAATGATATTATAAATTATTGGTATTCTGAAGAATAACCAAACGCTGAATATTTATATTTGGTAAAAGATTTATGTGAAGAATCGTTGTGGAGTTTTGTGAAACCTTCTACTTTAGATGCACTTCAAATAGCGCTTCCCAAAGTCATGAAGCATATCGTAAAAGATTTAGCAGATCTTTACAGTGGCTCAAGTCCTATTCTTCATCGGGATTTAAGACTCTCAAACGTTCTTCGAGATCCACAAGGAAATTTTTTAATCGCTGACTTTGGTATAAGTCGAAAATTGTTAAATAAAACTTCGACGTATGAGAGCCCACAGAGAGGAGCTAAAAATTAGATAGCTCCAGCATCATATGATGAAGTGAATGCATCAATTAACTTAGCCCGCCATAAGAAACAGTTTGATCTTATGGTAGGTATTTGTTGTGGAATATTAAATAGTGTTGAATTCTGTATCTAACAAATAACTTGCTTTTTTAACGTTTCCCTATCAACCACTCACTTTGTGACTGTTATGATATCTTTTTTATTAAAAATAGAACGCAGGAATGGTGGCTTATTATGTTGCGAAAATGGGAAACATCGTTTTGGACTTGAACGGTTTTTATTAGACAACCTTTTTGAAGGAAACCCTGTTGGCTTGGACGAAATCAAGGATGCTACGCTCGAAGATATTCCTTCGTGGATGTTTAAGCGACAACCTGAAGACAGACCATCAGCCAACGAAGCGTTGAAACACCCATATTTATTTTCAGGTGATGAGAAGTTGGAAATGTTGTGCAAAGTTGGAAACCAACATGAAATTAAGACAAATGATGCTCTTTCAAGTGTACTTTAACAATTGAATAGTGAACCCTCTGATTGGAAATGTCAAATAGATAGTGATGTCAATGATTATCTTTGCACATATGAGAAAAATGGGAAAATTAATAAGGTCCACTAATGATCTTCCTGGACGGAATGCTTAAGACTTATTCCAAATGTTGGCCAACATTGGTACGATAAACCAAGACTGAATCTTGAATTATTGAAAAAGATTGGCTATCCAAACGAATACTTTCTCAAAACATTTCCCAATCTTCTCGTTCGGATGAATGCCGCTGTCAAGTCGAATGATGTGATGAACAGTTGTTTTTCTTTGTTATTGTGGATCGCGTCCATTTCATGTGATTGAAACTTTGGGATTATTACTGAAGGGAGAGTTGTTGTTAACATTATACATTCGAGATGTTGTTTAATTGTGAAGTAGTTTTCTTTGAGACGACTTCGTTGTACAATGAAAGTTCAAAAATAAATCATTTAAACTAACGACAATTCCAAAATTATGTCCTCGAGACTAAAAATAACTGTTTTAGCGTGCAACGTGCATGATATGGCGCCCAATTTGGGGCGGCTTTAACGCAATAAAGTCGCCCATATTCATTTCTTACGAAAATTTCGACTGAAGAGAAGGAAAAATTGGAAAGGCTTCGTGCTAGAAGAAGAGGACATTGCGGAGTGTGTACTGAACTCGAGAAAAAGTCAATTGAATTGTTATCACAGCCACCACATGATGATCTTGTAGATCGTAGCGAAATCATCGCACAACAACTCCAAGGGAAACTAAAAATATTAAGTGAACTCGATGAAGAAATATTGAACACGTGTGATGTTAATGAAATACAAGGTGAACTCGAGGACTCGGCCGAAATTTCTGATAGAGCTATGAGTATAAAACGAAAAATTGAAAGGTATATTAAATGCGCTAAGAATGACAGAGACGTTGATACGAATGTCAACGATACCATATCGAACTCGAATTTGACGAACATGTCAAACCCTGGCCAAAACGAAAGTATCTAACAAAATTCTAACGAAAATTTGGCAAATGCGACGGAAAACTATGGTTTAGTCGAAGGTTCAAGCAATCAAGCGACGATCGAAATTGTAAACGAAGGAAATGTAACGAGTGACAACATTACGACGACTGTTCAATTTAAGTAAAATATGCCGAAGCTTCCTAAGCTGGAGCTTCCGAAATATGGTGGCAAGATTACGGAGTGGAGTTCGTTTTGGGATCTGTATTATTCTGCGATTCACAGTAATCCAAACATTTCGAATGTAAAGAAATTCAACTATCTGAAATCGCTTCTCGAAGGAAACGCAGCGAGGGCCATTAAAGGTCTAACACTAACTAATGCCAATTACGACTCTGTTGTAAAAATCTTGAACGATCGCTTCGGGAAAACCCAGCAAACCATAGCAGCTCACATGGATGAAATTTAAAAGATTCAATCTTGTACCAACGGTAGAACTAGCCAATTCAGATACATATACGATAAAGTAAGCGTTCATGTACGAGGATTACCGAGTCTTGGCGCGTTCCTTCAGAACAATTTGGCAGTATGCTTATCCCTATTATCATGACTAAATTACCTAGTGACATACGTCTACAAATTGCTCGAAAATCGTCGGGAGACGTTTGGAAAATTGATGAGTTGTTGGATGCAATAAAAACTGAGATCGAGGCAAGGAAGATAACTAAAGGAGTGCAATCAAGTCCTCAGCCACAGCATGGAAAAAATTCAGGAGGTCAGCACCAAACACCCAGAATACCTACGGCGAACGCCTTTTCGACTCAAAATACTTCAGGTAAACATATTCAATGTGTTTATTGTAAAGAGCCACACTTTTCGGCATCGTGTGATAGAGTAACTGATGTGAATGATCGCAAGAGTATATTGAGGAGAGACAGTCGTTGTTTTGTATGCCTGCGAATCGGGCATCTCAGTAAAAATTGCGAGTCAAAGAAGAGTTGTAGACGTTGTCATGGGGCTCATCATCAATCGATTTGTGAAGTGATTAGGTTAAGTTTTACGCCTCCTCAACAAAAGAGTACATATGATCTTAAATTTTCCCCCACTGGAAACAACCTACCAGAAACCAAGGAATGAAACAACGTTCGCACAGCTACTATGATTGATGAAGATAATTACTTAACAACGAATACGGCAAAAACGCGTAATCAAGTTGTTCTGCAAACAGCTATTACATATGGCAATGGTGGGAATGGTTCCTTTTCCATACCTGTTCGCGTGCTTTTGGACAGCGGTAGTCAGCGCACTTACGTTACGAATTCATGAAAAAACCGGCTTGGACTAGTTCCCATCAGAAGAGAAGTTGTTAACTTAAATACCTTTGGCAACCAATATTTTACAAAGCAAAAATGTGTCTTGGTTCATTTGTCCCGGAAAGGAAAGAATGGAAATCGAATCATAACAGCTCTTTGCTTCCCAAATATTTGCTTTCTATTAACAATGACAATTGATCTCAATCATTATCCTCTTCTGATAGAGTTGCAGCTTTCCGATGCCAATATTCTCTCTGGACGACAGATTGACAGCAACATGGACATTCTAATTGGAGCAGATTATTATTTTGGTATCATGACAGGCAAGATTATAAGAAGTGAAAGTGGTCCTTCTTGCGATTAATAGTGAATTTGGCAGGATTATCACTTGACAGACGAATGATGGTGAAACTAATTCGAAATTGTCAATCGTTAATTTAATCATCGAAGATTACTCATTTTCCAAAGAAGTTCCGCTTGACAAGAGAGAACCCAAATTACACGAATGCTTGAAACGGTTTTGAGAGATCGAATCAATGGGAATCAAAGAATCCAGCGAATCACAGGATCAGGAGTTTCTGAAGAATATACAATATCTGGAGGATAAAGGGAGATATGAAGTGAATTTACCTTGGATGGGGGAATGTATTCCAAAATCAGACTGTTACGGTATGTGTTTGAAACGATTACACTAGTTGACATCTCGTCTCGATAAACACAAATCCTTATTGCAAGAATCCGATACAATTGTCAAAGATCAAGTGAAAGGAAGAGTTATTGACCCAGTTCTTGTTGCACATGAAACCGGTTGTTTCCTACCCCATCATGAAAACTACAAAACTTCGCGTGGTTTTCGATGGATTGGCAAGAGCTACTAAGGAAGAGCAGAAACTCAATCATTGCATCGAAAAGGGACCAAATTTGGTTCATCGTTTATTTGACACTATGATAAACTTTCGAGGCTTCTCCATTGGGCTTGTTGCCAATATCGAAAAGGCTTTTCATCAAATACAAATTTCTCCCGAAGACAGAAGGATGCTGAAGTTTCTTTGGTTTGACAATATTAACAAAGTTCACCCGATGCTAAAGGAATACAAGTTCCGACACCTACCATTTGGTCTAACTTCAAGTCCTGCAATATTATCTACTGTTATTCGTCACCACGTTTCGAAATACAAGAATATCGATCCAGAAATAGTCTCCTTATTAATCGAGTCGTTATATGTTGACGATTTCGCTGGTTGAGCTTCTAATGAGGACGAAGCTCTATACATCTATCATAGATCTCGAAAATTAATGAGCGAGGGAGGATTCAAGCTTCGAAAATGGCATTCAAACTCGCAACATATCCGAAATGTTATCACGAATGATGAACATCGACCGTTTGTTGAGGGGGGAAATGAAAGGAGGTCATCATATGGTAAACATATACCAAAAACGATGGTGGAAGACAAGTTAGTAAAAACTCAACAGAGCCAAAACCTAAGTCCACATCTCAAGAGAACTGTATCAAAATTCTAGGAATCAGCTGAGATGAGAACAGCGACGAGCTTTGTTATGATCTTGAAGAGCTAGTGCATTATGCAAAATCACTTCCTGCAACTAAGAGGTCAGTTTTAAAGTTATCTGCGAAAATATTCGATCCTATTGGCCTTCTCGCACCATTTACAATCACTATGAAGATGTTGTTTCAAACCCTCTGCTCTTCTGGCAGTAAGTGGGATGAAGATCTGTCTGGCAAGGCCTTATCTCGTTGGAATTCTCTCGTTCACGACTTAAGGGCTTTAAGTGACATACGAGTACCGCGTTGTTACTTCCATGGTGGATACGATTCATCTCCGATTCATCAGATACATGGATTTTGCGATGCATCAGAATTTGCCTTTGCCGCAGTTGTATATCTACAAACGGAACATAAAAGCGGTGAAATTGAAGTGAATCTAATAGCAGCCAAGACAAGAGTCGCTCCTATCAAACGACAGACCATACCACGACTTGAATTGTTAGGCGCAACTACCTTAGCAAGATTAGTTGATTCGATTGTGAAAGCGTTGACTTCAATAAAATGTATCACTGTTATTATCCTATGGACGGATTCATTTACCACATTGTGTTGGATTCGAAATCATAAACTGTGGAAGTCGTATGTACAAAACCGCGTAAAGGAAATGAGAAAGTTAACTAGTAGTTATAAATGGAGACATTACCCTGGGGTAATAAACTCTGCCGACTTGCCTTCTCGTGGGTGTTCCGTAAGTGAACTTGTGCAATCTGGAATCTGGTGGAATGGTCCGTAGTTCCTCCAAGATACTGAAGAAAAATGGCCCGAAGATCTTCAACCTAAAAAATTGGATGAGGACCATTGCTACACCGAGATAATACGAAATCCTCTTCTAATAACACATTCCTTCACGTTAACATCGCTTCCTGACCGTAATTGCATCCACTTGGAGAAGATTATTGAGCAAGACAGATATGGTACGAAGAACAAACTACTTCGTGTCACAGCACAAATTTTAAGGTTTATCAAGAAATCAAGAAAGCAACTATGCTCTGTTACGTCTGAGTTGAATGCCAATGAGCTACTCGAAGCTGAGAATTTATGGATCCGAAGTATTCAGTTAGACGCGTTTTCTCACGAGTTACAATGTATTCGAGCCGGTCGTAAAAATGTACGAGTTCAACAACTTGGTTTGTTTCTCGATGATGATCAGATTATTCGGTGTGAAGGTCGAATTGCCCACTCTACGTTACCTGATAGTGCAAAACAGCCGATTTTTTTTGCCTCATAAGCATACCTTTTCGAAATTAACTATACGCGACTGTCACAATATAGTACACCACGAAGGAATTAGAGAAACTCTGAATTGCGTTCAAGGAAAATACTGGATCTTGCGTGGTCGAGAGTGCGTCAAGGGCGTTGTGCGTGGATGTATCAAATGCCCGAATTTCGTAGGTAAAGCTTTCCCAACAGCGAAGGAAGCGTGTTTGCCTTCAAGTCGAGTAAGCGAAGAGCCTCCCTTTCCAAACACCGGTATTGACTTTGCAGGCCCCTTATACGCTACTAACAATCAAAGATTGGATAAGGTATATGTCTGTTTGTTCACTTGTGCTTCCACTCGAGCGGTTTATCTTGAACTTGTTTGTTGTTTGTCTGTGCTATCGTTTCTGCAAGCTTTCCAAAGGATTGTCTCACGAAGAGGTTTGACGTCTAGACTAATATCAGACAATGCCAAGACCTTCAAAAGTGCCTCAAGGGAAGTTGCTAATATACTGAGATCAACTGACATACAACGCGAACTGGCTTCCAAGGGTGTCAATTAGGAATTTATCATTGAAAAGGCACCTTGGCAAGGAGGATTATACAAACGAATGATGCAAAGTACAAAGAGATGTTTAAAGAAAACTCTCGGTCGATCCTCAATGGATTTTGAAGCGCTTAAAGCCATTTTGGTAGAAATTGATGCTACCATTAACAATCGTCCACTTACATACATCTATGATGACGAAGAAGGATTTCTTACCCTCTCACTCCATCTCAATTAATTTACGGATAGCAACTTACTCTTACAGCTAGTGATCGACAATTTGAAATTATCAGTAGGAATCGAACTCTAACCAGAAAGCGAAATATCAGAAACGTTTGTTAGATCAATTTATTAATCGTTGGAGAACGGAATATCTTTTAAGTGTCTGAGAGACTTCACGTTTACTTCATGGAGCACAGAAGGAGAAGATAGCAGTCGGTGATGTTGTTGTGTTAAAAAATGATTTTTCCCCTCGAATTTTGTGGAAATTGGCTAGAATTACCGAGCTCATAGTAAGTAAGGATGGTGTTGTTCGAGTAGCAAAGGTTTGTGTTGCGAGTACTACAAAGGTTCGATCGTCAGAACTACGTCCTCCAATACAACAACTGATACCACTTGAGTTGAATATGCCTCCAGCAAATACCGTGGTTCCCAAAACTACTAGTGGAATTGAGTCTAAAGACGAAAACTCTATGAAAACCCGACACCGAAGAACTGCAGCCGTGATTAGAGACCTATTGCGACAGTCAAATAGTATAAACTCGTGAAATAAATTGATCAATATAATCAACGTCGGGAGTGTGATGAACAGTTGTTTTTATTTGTTATTGTTGTTGCGGATCGCGTGCATTTCACGTGATTGACACTTTGGGATTATTACAGAAGGGAGAGTTGTTGTTAACATTATAGATTCGAGATTTTGTTGAATTGTGAAGTACTTTTCTTTGAGACGACTTTGTTGTACAATGAAATTTCAAAAATAAATCATTTAAACTATCGGCAAATCCAAAATTATGTTCTCGAGAATAAAAATAACGTTTTTATCGTGCAACGTGCATGACAAATGATGAATGGAAAAACAAACCAGAATTTAAGAACTTTTTAATTTTTAATTAAATGGACACGAATCAATGATCATTTCATGCACATTTCATTCGCCATTATTTAGTGTTTTTTTTTAAAAGTGCAAATGAAACAAAATTTGTGCTACTGAGACTATATTTTCATTCAAAATAATTTTCAAAAGTGTACATTCTAAAACAAATAATTCATATCGCTTTTCATTTTAAAAATATCGAAGTTTATGTAATGTCCACTTTACAAAACTTGTGATGTCACATAGCATTACGAGAATTAGAAATAGCAGGTATAATTGTTAATATTTTACATCGACAGAGAAGAGTTCCTTCTACTGTGATTAGTTAATGGTATTAAAAACTGTTTTAAAAAGTAGCTACAGTGCCATTTTAAAAATTCTGTTGAATGAAAAAATAAAAATATAAACCTTCAACAATAATATTCATGTCAACGTTAATTTAATACATACAATTTAAAATAATCCACACGATTTTAAGCTCAACGAATGCTTAAGGTTTATTTGATATATTGGCCAACAATGGTATGATAGACTAAGACTGCAACCAGAATTATTGAAAAAGATTGGCGATCCAAAAAAGTATTTTCTCAAAACTTTTACGAATCTTCCTGTTTCAGTGCACGCGACTGTCAGGTCAAACGATGAATGGAAAAACAAACAAGACTTAAATCGACACGGTCAATGAACATTTAAAAGACCTTTCATTCGCGGATTTATTTGTTTTTTCTTTTTAAAGCCATTATTTTAAAACCTTCGCAGCTCAAGCCAAACTTCTTGAAAGTTTGTTAGCTTAAACAACATGCGTCATATTTAAAGCTATGTGCTACAATTTCTTTTTAGCTGTGTCATTTTCTTGCTGACGCAATTTCAAAGGAGCTTCTTAAAAACACAAGTTCCCAAAACGAAATGGATATAATTTGCAACATTTTTAGCTACACTCAGATAAACTACCGGATGTATAACTGCTACTAACTATTCATACCATTTTTTTTGCAGATCTCGAGCGTTGATGAATTAAGCAACTTTTTTTAACTGTCCTGTTGTTTTTTGTATATCCTGTATAAATGTGTAAAAATAACTGTCCTGTTGTTTTTTGTATATCCTGTATAAATGTGTAAAAAATGTTGAAAAGGACATTTGTTGTCATTACTTATACCATTGATCTGAAAAATTAATACCTGGATAGAGCTTCTATATGAAAATTGAAACGAGTTTAGATTTTACTCACCCGATTCTTAGGACCATTCAAATATAAAATGGCGTAGAGTTGACTGAGCGATTGCGACGATGGTTTGTCCAAAATTTCTTGTACATCAATAGCAGCAGTTTTGAGAGTAACTATTGTTGTAGCATGGACAAAAGATGGTCACAATATTGTAATTGAGTGGTCCCAAGAATCGAGTGTGTAAAATCAAAACTGGTTTAAATTTTATAATGTTTTCATACGTAGAAGCTCTATCGAGGTACTATTTTTTCAGATCAATGACTTATACCACAAGCAGACCTGCCTACTTGCACAACTTTATCGGCTGTCACCTAAATCTAAAAACGAATTTCCAGAACAGCAGATTTTCCATTAATTTTACCTTCCTTCAATGACATATATTTGGTGAAATAATTTTGAACGAATCAGGTCGAACTGAGTGTATGCAAAAATATTGTGGTTTTATAGGTTTTGCGTTCAAATTGTTCACACAAATTGTATGAACAACAAATTTACTTGGGTTTTCACGGTTTTCTGTTTATACACAATTCCTTTTTACTGAGTTCTTTTCGTCAATGTAATGGTGTATACAGTTCTTAATTAAACACTCACTCAAACTTGATTCATTCAAAATACACATTTACTAAATTCATGATATTGCAAAAGTTTTAAACGGGTGAATATGATTGCCAATCTGGTGTTCAGGAGATTTGTGTTAGGGGATGAGTTAGCATGTCTGTTTGTGGTATTAGACAAGACTATCAGCATCATGATAAAAATGAATGACGAAAAGAAAACGATTTAATGTATTCTTTTGCCAAACTGAAGTTAGTCTATCCAATGGCACTTTTTGATTTTGATGATCATTTGATGACGTCATCGTGAATAAAACGTAAATTTCTTACTTATTCTGTACACTTAATGCTTTCGGCCACATTGATTGCTTGGATGTGTACAGCGAAATTGTAATTGTGAGCATATTGTTCAACCATCTAAGTACTTTTTGCTTCGTGTGTCCCTCGAATTGCTTATTTTTCAAGATGAAGGATTATTAATCTTGTGAAGCATCTGAAATTAACAACACAATATGAATGTTTTTGCTGTAGTATTTTTGTTTGTAATCGACTGTTGCTAACAACTTGACAAAGGACGAGCAACAAGCTCTCAAACGACTAAACGACGCGTTACTGGGGTCATGGACAAGACGTATTACGTCAACAAAATGGACACACTTGTTAACGACTGACAAACGTAAAAAAAACACAAACGAAACCCAACAACATCACTACTACGCAAGCTTAACAGCAAAATCTTTTTTTTGAGAAAGTCCAACATCATACCCATCAGTACCACGACCACCCAGACTATACTGACTACCAAAACTTCACAAACAACAAAAAACTTATCTGAGCAACTTCTTTATATTCTCTGACTTTGCAAAATCACAATCGTTAACGAAAAATATGACGACACAGCCGAATTCGTCGACGATGAGCATTTGCACTGAAATCCTCGTCGAGTGACAAGTGATCTCCTCGATCTGATTGGATAAAAGCAACACATGACTAATGGTGTGCCCACTGTTGTACAGGCAACATGGCAGATTGGCAAGAAATGCTTATTTTTATACTTATCCTGTCGTCTTCAATTTATTGGATGCGTTCAAAGCTTCCTTTAGGATAGCCATTGTCGTTTGGACGGTAAAATCAGTAATATTTTCTTCTTTAATATTAATAGCAAATTCTTCCTTCGTTGATTTTTTATCCATGAATGTTTTGACAAAATTGTCACAGTGTGACAACAAAGGCTCATCACGAATTCTTGTTAAAGAGCAATTTGTCACAAAATTAGTTTCATTTCAACGATAGTGAGGCTCTCGTCTTTAAAAGCCTTTAAAGGGCTTCAAAAATGTTATTATATTTTCATAAGTTGCTACGAACATGGACGGGCGTGCATATTAAAACAAGCGGAACAATTAGCTATTGTAGATCAAATTATCCAATGCAGATTCATTAAATGTCACTTAGGGGTTGTTCAAATGAGCAAGGGTAGCCAGGATTCAACGATGGGTTAAATCATGTAGGCAAATAGAAAAGATTAAATACTTCACAACAAAAAAATATTTCAGCAATTTCTTTATATTCTCTGACTTTGCAAAATCACAAAACCTTTAAAATGAAAACA